CTGAAACCTGGCCTGTATTTGTGTATTTGAAACTCAATCACTGTTAAAAGTCAATAGCTCCACATTACTTTCACACACACACAGTCCTGGAGTTGCAAACATCAAACCTACAAACAACCCGTACTTACGAATGAACTGCCAAAAAGCCTATACATTTTTACAAATTAAAGCAGACAATCAGCATCACCACAGAGAAAGGGTGTACTCAGAAAAACAAATGTGGCCATCCTGCCCCTCCGTTCTGCCCTAAACACATCAAAAGATGCCTCGGTGTCCGGTGGTGAAGACCAGGTGACCCCACTCATTAGTGGGTAACTGTCAAAGTGTAATCTCTGTGTTTTATATGCTTGCTAAAGTGCCTTCCTAACCCTGTAGGTTCACACATGTAACATTTTTGTTTACTTAAGTTGGGCAGCCTGTTCAAGGTAACTTTAGTTTAGAAGGCCTGTCAAAGGCATCTACTTAGAGTGAAATGTAACTTTTCTTTACCCTGCTGTGATGTGTATCCAGTCACTTTCCTATCCATATCAAAGTATCCAAGCACCTTCCTGTGTATTGTATTTACTCCCCTTTTGTGTATTTTATGTAATCCTAATGGAATTAGCATTGGGTGATCACCCATGGATCCATGTGTTTGATTGTAAGTAACCCTATTTGCCCTCGCAAGAAACTGACCATTTGAGCCTTAATTGCGGATCGGTGTGACAAGGGAAAACCAAAGGGAGGAGAGGGAGGCCCCGAAGCACGCCTTCCTGCTTTGCCCGCCCAGCCAGGGAATCTCCCTGGCATTTCCTTGCTGCGGAGAGGAGGCTGTGGGGAGCTCGGGCGGGAAGCGGGGCGGTTGGCGATCTTTGTGCTTTTTCCACTTTCATGTGGGTCCTGTGTCCCTCGCCCCATGAATGTGGAGGGCCGACTTAAATACAAAGTCGATTTAAAGGCGAATGCCCGTTTTCTCAGAAACGGACTGCCTGATCTGACAGCTTTGCAAGGGGGCAGTGAATTCATAAAAGTATGAACAAGGAACGTACAAACACAGAAATTTAGTTCGCCGAACTTACTAGCCTGACTGGGAGCCAGACTTAACAGGAAACAAGAGAACGGTGTGCATTCTTGGCGGAGCTTTCTCTAAGGGTTGCACAACCAAGGAAGTAGCTGGGTACGTATGTCTTAATCAAAAGCTAGCTCTCCGCTTCCCGTCCCCTTTTTAAAAAAAGCCTTCACTCTTTTGCTCTTGTTTGCTCAGCCGATCTCACTTTTAGTTGTTGTTGTTTTTTTTTTTTTAGCAGAAACCTCTTCATGTGTGGAAGTGAGGAACTGCCGGGGCTGCCAGGGAATCACCCACTGCCTTGCTGAGCAGTAGCGCCGCGTTTGCAGCTAGCTTCGGGGGGTGGGGTAAGTCTTTTCCGGACTTCACTTTAGAGTTATCTCTCTCCTTCCTTCCGTCCTTAACGAACTCAGAGCTGCTCTCCTTCTCCTCCTGCTCTCAACCTGATCCCCACAGCAACAACCCTGTGAGGTAGGCTGGGCTGAGAGTCTGTGACTGGCCCAGTTAGCTCCATGACTGAGCGGGAACTAGAACCGCGGTCGCCTGCGGCCCAGCCCTGCGCTCCCAACAACTCCCACCAGCGTGCTCGCTATGCAGACTGTAAAATCGGCTCCTTAAACAAAACCGACATACAGTTTGAGGCTTGTCAGAAAATGGGATGGTAAAGAAGGGAAAGACTTATTTTTCTTGGAAAACTAAATAAGGGCCACACTGCAAAGGATACTAAACTCACGATCAGGAATCATATCAGGGTTTTAACAGCGTACAGGTAGGGGCTTAAAGCTTTTCTTAACCATCCCTGGCTTGCAGTTAGCCCTGAAATAAAAGCCCAAGTGGGATTTTACTCCTGAGGCTCCCATTAGAATGGGTGGTTTTCACTGGGCCCACAGCAGGGAAAAATAGAAAAAATGTCTTCTCTAGCAATGCAAAACTCAGAAGAATGTTATAAAAAGTACACTGTGATTTGCTTTTTGTTTTGCTTCGCCAGCCCTGGAGACTCGAGAACCTTTTCCCCCTGACATTTTCTTGTTTTTTTAATATTCAGTGCAACCTGCTGCATTTTATCTGTTGCTGCTCTGTTAACTACAGCCAGCCAGTGACTGAAACTACCTGGCTGCCTCATTTCTATTTCAATACCATCGCGTTTCTTCAACTAAACTTTTAATGCTTTTTATTAGGGGAGTACTTTGGTATTTTACCCTCCTGAGTAGTAATAAATGTACACTTACTATGTTAAATTGGGCTCTTTTCTTTCCCCTCAACTTTGCCTGCTCCCACACTTCCCTTTCCAAGTTCATCCCCAACAGTCATGCTTGGCACATAAGCGTTCACAGAATATCATATACATTATTTTTAGCAGTCCTTAGGCCAGACCTGTATGATTTGGCTGCTAGCCTTCATCCCACATGTTGGGGGCTCTGAGTTCCCCAGGGTCACATTCTGTAGTGCAATTTACTCATAATTAGGTCACCCAATTACTTATTTTCATATATGTGCATTTTGCAATCATTGGCATGCACAGGGGGTTGTCTCCTGCACATCGCAGGCTGTTCAGATAGATTGCTCCAGTTTGGAGGAGTCGGTGGTGAAGGGCCGGCGGGGGGATGGCAGAGGACTTGACGCTTTCAAGGCTGCCTCGTGAACTTGCCCAAGCAGTGTGCGCAAACCAGCCCACCTTGGAAAGGGGGAGGGCCCTTTCAGAACTGGAGCGGGCAGGAATGCAGGGGCAAAAACAGGTGAAGTGAGCAGCCCGTCTACGAAGTGTCCCGCATTCCTGCTGTCCAGCCTGCAAGCAGCAGGAACCGTGCCAACGGTGGAGGCAGAAGCTCTCCTGAAATGGAGGGGAGGAACGGAAGTGTCAGTTCTGTAAACAGCTAGGTTTTAATAAAAGAACTGTGCTTCTGAGGTTCCATTTTGAATCTGCTGGAGGAGAGGGAAAGAGGGAAGTGACACAAACATTTTCTTTTTTTCTTTCTTTTTATACTTTTAGGTTAAAAAATCACTGTCAAAATTAAAACTGCAAGGAAGGATAGGGCAGTTGTGCACATTAGACACAAGCAAAAGAACCGATGAGAATTTCTCTGAGATGCTATTCTCCTTGGAACCATTGCTTTCCTGCCCTCAAGAGCTCCCTTAAAGTATGCCTACTCTAAAACTAAAAGCTGAAAAAAAACCCCCAAAAACAAAAATGTCTTTCCCTATATATATCTTTTGAATGCAAATATTGTCTTTTGGGGGATCCTTAAATCCTTTTAACCTTTAAAAAAAAATAAAGATTTTTACCTCAGTTACAACTTTGAATTTTCAACAAAACTATAACAGCAAACAAAACAGGAAAGCCAAAAGGGAATGGCAGGTGAATTCCTGGGGGATTCATGAAACCTATCAATATATAGAAATTATAAACATATCTCTTCATTTCTGGAAAAGAAAAGAAAAAACAAACAAGAAGAGAAAAATGGATTAACTTCTCCATTTCAAATATATATCCATTCATATAAGCAGTCTGTCTACCTAATAAGTATGCTTACAGCTTGTATCAGGTGAATGCTAGCAAGTTTTGACTCCTTTTGCTATTAGCAGTGCTGCTGCTTATGATTGCTTGTGATTCACAAGCAGCTCTCTGCTCCACCTAGTTGTCCCATAATTGTTGACTTAATGTGCAATTAAACTTCACATGATTGGCCCAGGTGACCTGCAGAGAAATTTACTTCAGATCAGTGAGAAGGCAAAGCAAAGGAGTGGCAGCCAATTTCTCTCCATGCAACACCAAAACAAATATTGTTAGAAAATGTTCCTTTGGGGTTCACTTTAGCAATGTGGCAGCAGTGCAGAAAGATGCATCCATGATTGGTGATACATTCTGTGCATTAAGAGGTGAGCTTTGATTACTTGGGTGGGAAGTGCACAATTTGTGATCCCTCAGCCCAAGCCAGCAAAGTCAGCGGTGAAGAATGAGCAGAGTTGCAGACCAAAATATTTGGAGAGTGTTGTCCACCTGCTGACTTAAACCATGGATTTTGAAGCCTGGGAAGGATGCATATCTCACATTGACCTTTTATCACAGCAGTAACCAATGGATCTGTCATACTTCCTCAGGGGGTAACCTGGAGTCCCCCAAGTCAAAACCATGGAAGAGCTGCCTGGGCCAAGGCACCTGAAAATGAGTACACTTCCGTGCAAGAATGATATGCAGACTGTCCCATGTGGTGACTTGTGTTACTGCACTTGTTCCACCTGTCTGATTGCTGCTGTCTATAAGGAATTCATGGATGCTCTAAAATCCATTCTGCCAATGGTTTACAGATGGTCAGGTGACTTTGATTACATCATCCGCTCATCAACAGAATTGGGTTTTGCAAAAGTGCATTTGTATAGGTCTGTGCAAATTCAGTGTTGAGCAACTTCGCATTCCTGCTGTTGTGCAGATCCCTCCAGTATGAATCCCCATGGCTGAGTGGGGAGTTGAACCTGCTATGCATTTCCACACTTTAGTCCATGGGGAAGTGAACAGTTGGCATCTGTTTTTCATATTTTCTGTGACTAACGTTGTGTGAAATAATGTGAAATAAAAAAAAATGGCCTGTAAGCCTGTGGAATCCATGTGACTTAGGAAGATCAGTCCAGTGAAAAGTCTGTGGGCCAGATTCTTCCAAAATCAAACTCATTTGATGATTTCTCCAGTATCCATTGTCTCTGTACATCTCCATTTCTCCATGTTCCAGGATCAAGCCCTTCCAGAACACCAATGAAATAAAGCTTCAGGCAGGTGCTAGGGCAGGAATAGGGAACCTTTTTCAGCCCAAGAGCTGAGCTCAGTTTAAGAGAAGCTTGCAGAGACTGTATTCCAGTAGTAGGAAGGGCCAATAATTTTTTCATATATTTATATTCTGAATTTTTTTCCTTCCGGGGAATTCAAAGTAGCTTACAGAATTCTCCTCCTCTCAATCTGATCCTTACAACAACAACCCTGTGAGGTAGGTTGGGCTGAGAGTCTGTGACTGGCCAAAAGTCACCCCATAAGCTCCATGGCCAAGTGGGGACCCAAACCCAGATCCCCTTGAGTCCGGTCCTGCGCTCTCAACCCCTCCACCACACTGGCTTTCAAGGAGAAAAGGGACAGGGTCAAAGGCACATTGGAAGAGGCCAGCATACTGGCATATTTTAGCTGAAGGCTCTCACTTAGCTTCAGCAGGGGCATTTTCACCATTTCAGATGGGAGGGGAAATATGCCGAAGCTGGAAGGAGACTAAATGATGAATGGTCAGGCCACGTGTGTATCCGTCTTTGCAAACCTGGAGAGATGGATTTGGCCTGCAGATGCAACATTCTCCACCACTAGGCTCTGAGCTCTGCTCTGCCAGAGGATGGGGGGAAAAGCTTATCAAAATGCCCCAGAGCACAACCTGCATCATGAGCAGGTGCAAACAGAGGCAAGCAGGTGCTCTCTGGGAAGGCTAATTTGGTCAAGATTTTAGACCAACACCTGACATTGGTCAAGTCACCCCTGATTAAGTTTAGGCCTTCTTCCAAGGACTTCGTAAAAACCTTTTATGTGATATTTTATTTTATTGTGTTTGTGGTCTGTGGTTTTGCCTTATTATTGTGAATTGTCCACAGAGTTTTCACATACAAATAATAAAACCAACATTAATACTAAAACCAATACTTATGCTAATATTACTGAAGCTAAATGACATTAGGATTTTAGTAAAATTTCCTATTAATGCTGCCCTAGTTTATTAACCAAATTGTTCTTAAGTATGCTTTTATGCTCTGAATGTTTCCTTTTGATCCAGGAGAGCCCAAAACAGGAGCTTTACCATTCAGAACTGTTTCTGGAGTGCTGCTATTCTCAGAGTGAAATGGCAAACAAAGGAACTCCTGAGACAGACCCACGAGAACGGACGAATTTTATTCCAAGAGTGGGGAAGGAAGAAAAAGAAAAGGGGACAGGTACTGGCCACTTATTTTCCTGGGAGCAAGTAGCAGATAGACTCGTATAAGCAGATAAGGAGAACCAATGTATAGAGCAAAACTGTGTGTGCCCATTGCCTTCCTCCTGCAATAACGGGCTGTACAAGTAAGAAATTATTCTTGTCACACTCTTAACATGGCTGTTTATTGGTTTCAAAGGAGTTTTTCTCTAAACTATTAAGCAGCAACTTAATCAACTATTAAGTTGATACTGCAACATGAGCAACTTCATTCAGGGGTTCAAAAATTGGGGTGGGGGGAAACAGAATGTGCACATCAGTCCCGCTTGTTCCATAAACCTTCTCAAGTTAACCAAAAAGGCTGAAGAAAGACTTTATGTGGTAAATGGTGATTCACAAGTTGTTTCCTCTCTCAGTTTGTGACCGTGCAGTAAGCAAGATCAAGGCACTTGCAGGGGAAATTACCTTTCTCAGAGTCATCGCCTTCCTGTATCGTGTTGTTATCCTATTCCTACTCATTGGCATTGGCATTGCAGTTGGTAAGTTATGCAAAAGTTTGGTACTTTTCTCTTGAAATTCCTCTTCATGTAACAATTGCACAATGGGGTGCATAAACATAATGTGCATCAGCTGGTTGCACAATGGCTTGCATCGGCTTAAGGCAGAACTGCTGGCACACTTGGTTGCATGAGCATTATGCCCAACTGGTTGCCCAGCCAGTTCAGCAACAATGATTTTGGCTGTAGTCTCTTCTTGCACATGATTTGGAATCTAATCTCAGCTAGCTTGGCATCGGTTCTGCGACACCTCAGTTGCCATAACAGAAGAGCTGGATTCTGCTTGCAGGATAATGTCATCGCAAACGATCCAAGAAACAAACGATATTAAGCTAAACTAGATGTGGTGTGGCTCCAACTTTCTTACACTTCCTCCAAGTAGCAGGCTAACAGGTGGAGCCTGGTGTAGGACCACCCAAAACATTTTGCTCACTAATATTCCCTTAATTGCTATTGTCTTGCTCAAAGCTTCCCTGTTCCAGGCAGCCATACTCAACACACGCAAGGTTGTGAGCTTCAAATGATTTGCAGAAATTCTTATGGGAAGTCTGTGACATTCACACAGAAAGCCAGAACCAGAATTTTCTTGAACCCGTAACTCCTCAGAGCCCATCCATCACTGTGTTATCGAACTGTTTTGTATCACTCTGAGCAACAGCTCTTTGTAAACATGTCACCCCCTAGCTGTGCACTACTTTACAAATATTGCTCAGAGAGCCTGAGATTTTTTGAGAAGGGTGGATGGAAGGGCTCAACTAGTCTTCTCATCCTGATTTGTCTGTTAGAGAAGAAAACTGAGCTGATATTGTTCCTTCCTTAGCAATGGCAGCAAAAATGATTCAGCAACTGACCCTTCATATGAATTCTGCTGCAACCTGTGGTCCACCATGCCCACGTTATTGGATTGGATATGAAGGGAAGTGCTACTTCTTTTCAAAAGAAAAAAGGAACTGGACATACAGTCAGAAATTCTGTTCCTTGCACAATGCCACATTGGTGAAGATTGAAGGTGAAGAACTGGTAAGCGAGGAAAGCATTCCATTGTCAGAGAATTCTCTGAGCTTATGCATATAAAACACACATTCAATAAAGTTTGGGGGCAGGACAGTCCTGTGAACCAGTTTGGATGGCTGTCTGCTGCTATGCCAGATATTATTATTACATTGCATTTATATCTTGTACCCCTCGATGAATTGGTGCAGTTGTTTTCATCAAGGCAAGGCTAGCAAAGTCTACTGGGACTACGGGGACATCAGATCCTTACCCTCAGCTTCATTTTCCTTACAGTCAAGAAAATCCATTCTGTAATATCCCTGCTCTTGCGAGAGAGAACTAGCCAAGAACACTGACAACCGAAGCAGCCCTGAAACATATTGCTTCAGCATCCCTGCAGCAAAGCACTGTGTTTGGAGAGCCCTCGTAAAACCATCCAGTGTGATCAGAACCTGGAACTGCCCAGCACAAAACTACACTCCCTCGTCTGTTGGGGGAGTTTGAAGAGAAATGCTTCCATTTTGATAGACACTGTCTGGCTCTCCACATCCAGAGTGGCCAAAGTCTACTGGGAAGGAGCTTTGGATATCTCTCAAGTCTTTCTGAATCTGCTCAGTTTGGTTCAGGATTCAGCTTAATTTGAATCTACCCCTAGGAAAAAAGAGTCAGCACAGAACAGCTGCTACCACAGAGTCCTTTGCAAAGGATCACCCACCATTCATAATATTGTTTCAGATGACAGTGAGTATAAGGCGTACATGGAAGGCACCGATTAACCTGTAGTGATGGCAGGTTATGAAATTCAGCCCTAACTTTAACTCTTTTTCACCAGAATGCCAAGCTTAATAGCAGGATTGGTCCACAGCATTCCCCCTAATGCAGTTTATGCCTAGGACTTAGGGGAATAGAAACCCACACCTATAGCTACAAACTTTGGGTCGTCTTTCAGGCAGAGGATCAAATCCACAGTAGCCCAAAGGCTTCTTTTCAATACTTTTGCTTGTTGTTATTTTTTTATCTGAAATGATCGTAGCCTTCAGTTTTCCCCAGCCAGATGGCCTCCAGATGTTTTGGATGGCAGCTCCCAGCATTCTTGGCCGATGGCCATGCTGTCTAGGGGTGATGGATGTTGACATCCAACACATGTAGAGGACAGCAGCTTGGGGAGCGACTGGTTTCCTGTTTTGGTGGCCGATCACAGATCTTGATGCTGACTGTCACCTTTTCTGACTTGAAGGAAATTGTGATGCGACTCATAGGAAAAGACCTTTATTGGATTGGTCTCCAAAAACACCCTGGGAAGCCATGGACATGGTCAGATGGAGCAAATTCAGTGTGAGTCACCCTCCTTCTCTTTAGTCTTTGGTTCTGTGTCCTCAGAGATCGGAGTGTCTTTTGAGTGATTGATTGATACGCTGTCCCATTAGCCATAAGGTGCTCTACCGTAGGCAGGTCTGCAATTCACTGCTTGTATGATGGAGCTTATGACTGCTCTTGCCAGTATAATTGTGCAAGAGCACTAACCTCAAGCTGGGGACCAGATTCTATGCAATGAATATCGGGCATAAAGCCCAGTTTCATTAGGTCTCTGAGGATGACTTTGCAGCAGTGAACCACCTGCTTTTCTCTGTTGCTTGGGAATTCCAGAGGAGATCAAGTTGAGTTTAAGAAGAAAACTGATGTCTTTCCTATCCCTATTCCATGGATGGGTGGGCAGTGGGGACGACAGGGCACCATTCTGCGAGGGCGGGAGCTTGAGGGCAATGATGGCTGAGCAGTATTTCAGTGCATGGCTTCCAGCCATAGCAGAAGCAGCAGAAGTCAGAAGAGTTCCAAGTGGCTTTTCAAAAGTCACTTGGCATTTATTTATGTATTTATTTACAATATTTATACCCCGTCCTTTACAAAATGTCCCAGAATCGCTTACAACCATAAATAAATCAAACAATAAATAAGTTCAACAAAATACAACATAACATGCTCTGTTACATTTGTTATGTTATGTTATTCACAAAGTTGTGTCCGACCCATCATGATCCCATGGATATTTCTCCAGGCCTTCCTGTCCTCCACCATCCCCCAGAGTCCACCCAAGCTCACACCAACTGCTTCAGTGACTCCATCTAGCCACCTCAACCTCTGCTGTCCCCTTCTTCTTTTGCCATCAATTGTTCCCAGCATTAGGCTCTTCTCCGGGGAGTCCTTCCTTCTCATTAGGTGGCCAAAGTATTTGAGTTTCATCTTCAGGATCTGGCCTTCTAAAGAGCAGTCAGGGTTGATCTCCTCTAGTACTGACCAGTTTGATCACCTTGCGGTCCAAGGGACTCGCAGGAGTCTCCTCCAGCACCACAATTCAAAGACCTCACTCCGTCGCTCAGCCTTTCTTATGGTCCAGCTTTCACAGCTGTACGTTGCAAATGGGAAAACCATAGCCTTGACTATACGCACTTTTGTTGGCAGGGTGATGTCTCTGCTTTTGAGTATGCTGTCTAGAATTGCCATAGCTTTCATCCCAAGGAGCAAGCGTCTTTTAATTTCTTGGTTGCAGTAACCATCTGTGGTGATCTTGGAGCCCAGGATAGCTGAGCATAACAACGTTAAAATCTAGTTAAAATAATTAAATATTAAAATATTGGGCAAATAAAAAGGTTTTTGCCTGGTGCCAAAAAGAATATAACATTGGTGCCAGGCAAACCTCTCTGGGGAGCGAATTCCACAGTCGGGGCGCCACCATAGAGAAGGCCACTCTCCTAACCTCCTTCAAGGAGGGTTCCCGGAGCAGGGCCTCTGCCTCAGATCTTAAGGGTGGGAGGGCATATAAGAAGACGTTCCTTCAGGTATCCTGGTCCCAAGCCGTGACTGTCCCGGCTGAAGCCCACCAGGCTCTGACTGGCGTCTCTGTTGCCCCCACCCCAGCAGAAAAACGTTAAAGACAAGGGGCGGTATGTCATGTACAGTATCCCAGGCAGCTTTCATCTTCTATTTGGATTTCTCACAAATCCCTGCCCCCCTCCATGTCCCACCATTTCAGGGCCTCAGGGGAGGGCCACTGTTTTGCGGGTGCTCCATGAGAAGTTAAACTGGCAACAGCAAGCTGCTCAGCACACACTGGAGCTCTGGCAGGAAAGAGGCCAGTTTCAGTTAGGCCCTGCATGCCACCCAAGGCTGCTGGGTTCATGGGTACAATTTGTGTTGGTCCTCTCTTTGCAAGTGATTGTGCTGCATTTTCTTAGAGTGCTGAGGTCCGTTTCTGCTGGAAATGCACATTATCTCACTTAACTCCAGGTTTGTGTGTTTGTGTTGCAGAATGGAGGTCTCTGGGGAAGGAGGAGACTGCGCATACCTAGACAATGACGCCAGAGCCATCTCATCAGGGTGCCATACAAAATTGCCGTGGATCTGCAGCAAACCTGCTGCATATACAATCCCAAGCAATACACCAGACCCATAGGCAGACTTCTGGCCTATAGGAGGAGAAATAAATACAGAGCTAGCTGGCAGGCAGTAGGCCAAGAAAATAATGCTGCCCTTACTTTTACTGTTTGACTGGGTAGAGTGTGAACTGCACGTTTACCCCCTGCATGTCTGAAAGTCTGAGAACAGCATTGCACATGGACAGTGCCAGAGAGGATCCCTGGTGCTACATCCCTGCTGTCAGGGGTAAGCACATCAAGGGAATGGATAAAGTTGGTGCCTTTAACACAAATACCCAAGCATACACATTGGGGAAATGTGAGGAACAAGAGCCAGCAACAAGTAAGAGTGTTGCTGCGGGTACACTGCCTTCTCTGGGCTTCCACTTATTCAGAAGTGAATAAATTCCTGCTAGCACCAGGTGTGCGAGAACTAAAACTTGCAGTTTTATTGACTGTTGGTTATTGGCTATGTTAAGCAAAAGCTGTTTTTGTTATTCTCTCGGGGCTTTAAAAACATCTGATGTGGCATCATTCCTGTTCTATTAGTCAATATATCAGTGCAAAATTCACTATCTCAGTGATGGTGAACCTTTTAGAGACTGAGTGCCCAAACTGCAACCCAAAACCCACTTATTTATTGCAAAGTGCCAGTACTGCAATAAAACCTGAATACTGAGGTTTTAGTTTAGAAAAAACAACTCACAGCCAGTCCAAGCAAGAAAGCAAATAAATAAATCTATTGATCTATCCATCCATCCATCCATCTTTGGCAGTGCACTGACCTGCCATGCGAAAGCTCAGACGAGTCACGGCTAATGAGTCACAGCTCGTGATGTTATCATCTGGCGCCGCTACTCCTTTCCAAGCATGCACATGGCCCCTATGTACACTGTTATCTGATGCTCAGCTGCTGGGGTGCTGCTGGGGCGACTTGGCCTGCGTGCTGACAGAGAGGGCTCTGTGTGCCCGCTGTGGCACACATGCCATAGGTTCACCACCGCTGGACTATGTGAATGCTGGATTTGTGAATCACTAACAGAAAATCATTTAGCTTAAGTAAGCCAAACCACATTATTTCCCCCTTCCGCCTTTTAGAGAGGAAATGATTTGCATTTTTGTGGTATGATCATCACACCATTCAGGCACCGATTCAAAACTGTCACTGCCTCACCTGGATTAGTTGAGAAAGAAAGATAATAGAATTATCCAGCAAGGATTTGTATTAGGGGAGAAAGATCCCAGCAGTTATAATTTCTGTGCCATTCGGAATTATGCCTAGCATGGAGTTTGCCTTTTTCACAGCAGCCAAGTACTGGGCCAACGTTTTAATTGAGCTGCCCATCCCCCACCCGCAAGATCCCTTTCTTGCTCACTCATTACTAGCTCAGACCCCATCAGTGTACACTTGAAGTTGGATTTTTTTTTTTTTACTCCAATATTCATTTTTTTACACCTGCTTACATTGAACTAAATTTGCCATTTTGTTGCCCATTCTCCTAGCTTGGAGAAATCCCTTTGGAGCTCCTTATAGTTCCTTCTGGTTTTAAACATCTCCGTTGCCTCTGTACAGTGCCATCCTGAGGAGTTCTTCCATTCTTGGCCCAAGACGGATCCTATCAAACCCTTGGTGGCCCACTGTGATGAACTTGCACAGAACTTTAAGCATAAAGTTGCTCAGATTCACCACAAGTTAAATTCCAGAGTTAGTAGTGTAGTCCTGTAGTGGAGGTGTCCAGAGCACCATCTGGTCCATCATTGCTGGACTGTTCCATGGTTCTTGCCACCCATGGTAGGTTGCCATGTCATCTGAACCCAGACAACATGACCCACCTTGGGTGGGCCCCAATAGCCAATGAGCCACTTGGAGACAGCAGCAAAAATCCTTGCTGCTTTTGACAAATGGCAGCTGGGTGAGCTTAGCCGTCAGCAATCTGCAAAATGCTCACCTGGGAGCTGCTTTCAGAAGCTTTCCTCCAGCCATGGCAGTATGGAGAAGCCATTCTGGCCAGCAGCTCATGAGTAGTCCCCTTCACAAGCAGGAACAAGTTCTCAGTAGCCATTTACAAGAGAGTGGCAGATCTTCACTTCCAGTCCTACACAACCAGTGTACAGCGGTACCTCGCCTCACGAATGCCTCAGTTCAAGACCAAATCGGGTTGCGAACAAAAATTTCATAAAAATTTTGACTCAGGTCGCAAACTCCACATTGAGTGGTGACTGCAATTGTGGCCATCCCCCCCCCCCCCCCGAGTGGGCAGCAAGAGGGAGATGGTCGAGATTGTGCCCGTCTTTCCTGCAGGAGTGCACCCATGATCTCGGCCATCTCCCCCCGCAGCACAATCATGCCTGTCTCCCCCCACAAGCACACCCACGTTCACACCACTCTCTCCCTTCCAGTGCGCCTGCATTCACACCTGTCCCCCCCCGCCCCAGCATGCTGGGATGATGGGCACAATCGCGGTCATGCTGTGGGGGGGGGGGGCAGAGAGATAGCTGCACTTGTTCTCTGTGTGGGGGGGCAAGATGGCCACGGATCTTTGTTGTTGTGAAGCAAAGTGACATTTTTCAGTTGTTGCGGCCTGGTGATGTGGACAAGGTGCTTGGACAAGTACGTCCTACCACTTGCTTACTAGATCCATGCCCATCTTGACTACTTAAAAAAGCCAAGGATGGGATTGGGACCTGGACCCTGGAGGTGGTCAACGCCTCTTTAAGAGACGGCCAGGTACCTGCCCCTTTAAAGGAGGCAGTAGTCCGGCCAGTCCTAAAGAAGACATTCCTGGATCCAGAGGTGGCCGCCAATTATAGACCAGTGGCCAACATCCTGTTTCTGGGCAAGGTGCTAGAGCGGGTGGTGGCGGGACAACTCCAAGCACTCTTGGATGAAACTGATTACCTGGACCCATTTCAGTCCGGCTTCAGACCCAGGTATGGCACTGAATCTGCCTTGGTCGCCCTGTACGATGACCTGTGCAGGGAGAGAGACAGGGGGAGTGTGTCCCTGTTAGTTCTCCTGGACCTCTCAGCGGCTTTCGATACCATCGACCATGGTATCCTTCTGAATAGGTTAGCGGGATTGGGAGTTGGAGGCACCGCTTTGTGGTGGTTCCGCTCCAATCTCAATGGCCGATTCCAGAAGGTGGTGCTGGGGGACTATGGCTCTGCGCCATGGCAGCTATGCCATGGAGTACCGCAGGGGTCATTTTGTCCCCTTTCCTATTTAACATCTACATGAAACCGCTGGGAGAGGTCATTTGGAGGTGTGGGCTGCGGAATCATCAGTATGTTGATGATACCCAGCTCTGCCTCTTGTTTTCCACCAATTCAGGTGCGGCAGTGGCTGTGCTGAACCCAAGGTAATGGGCTGGATGAGGGCCAATAAACTGAAGCTCAATCCAGACAAGATGGAGGTCCTGTTGGTGGGTGACTCGGGCCTTGTCCTAAATGGGGTTGCACTCCCTCTGAGGGACAGGGTTCGCAGCTTAGGAGTGCTCCTCGACCCTGAGCTGTTTCTAGAAGCTCAGGTGACAGCGGTGGTAAGGAGTGCCTTCCTTCAGCTTCAGCTGATACATCAGCTGCGTCCTTTCCTGGAGAACTACTGCCTGGCAACAGTGACATACGCACTGGTAACCTCCCGATTAGATTTCTGTAATGCGCTCTACGTGGGGCTACCCTTGAAGACGGTCCGGATACTTCAATTGGTGCAGAATAGAGCTGCCAGGTTGATGACGGGGATTGGGCATTGTTCTCATATAACCCCAGTTCTCCGTCAGCTCCACTGGCTCCCGATTGAAGTCCAGGCCCAATTCAAGGTGTTGGTTATGACCTATAAAGCCCTCAACGACTTGGGACCTGGATAGCTAAAGGAACGCTTGCGCCCATATATGCCTTCCTGCCCCTTGAGATCAACAACAGATGCCCTTCTCCAGGAACCCTCTGTGAAGGATATTAGGAGGGTGAGTACCCGGAGGAGGGCTTTCTCTGTGGTGGTGCCCCATCTATGGAATGCGCTCCCCAGAGAGGTCCACCTGGCCGTCGTTATTTGTTTTTCGGCACCAGGCTAAGACCTTTTTTATTTAAAACTTATTTTAATTGTTAAATTATTTGGATTAATAGGATTTTAAAATTTTTAACTGAGAATGCACCGGGGGTTTTTAAACAATTTTTAAAAAAATGTTACATTGTTATTATTTATGTATTCTTTGTGAGCCGCCCTGAGGCTTTGTTGCAATGGGAACGGCATAGAAATGTTTTAAATAAATAAATAAATAATTTTTTCTGATTAAAAAACTTACAGAAAGGATTAACCTTATTTACATTGAACCTAATGGGGAAATTTAATTTGGCTCTCGACCAATTTGGGTCAGACCCAGAGTCCTGGAATGGATTAAGTTTATGGACCAAGATACCACTGTATTAGATTACATAAATTATGGCATTGGAAATGAATTCATTTCTTTAACCAGTCTCTTGTGTTTAAGAAATGCTGTGTTTGTCTGCTCAAAATTAAGGCCCATTGACCTCAGGGGAGATTGCTTTTGAGTGGACAGGCCTAAGGTTGCATTGCTCATCCCCAGAAACCAGCCCAGAGAGACATACTGAGCACAAAAGAGATCCTGTATGAAACACAACTCAGGCTGCAGCAAAGCAAAAATGGGTATATTAATTGAATTTATTTCCCTCTGTTGTTGTTGTTGTTGTTGTTGTTATTATAACATTTCTATGCCGCCCTTTGCTGAAACCTCGGGGCGGCTTACAACATGATAAAATACATTGAAATACAATAGTACATAATAAATTACCATTAAATATAAAAATACAAAAAATACATTGATTTACAAATATAAAATTAAAATTATCAGTATAAAATAAAAATATAGGAGGAGAAAGAGAAGGAAGAAGAAGTTGCCCTGGCCAGATCATATGTTTTAACAATTGAAATGATGTTTCAATAAAAAGGTCTTTACCTGGCGCCGAAAAACCAG